TACAATCGAGTCTCGCGATGAAGAGTGTTCGGTTGCTTATCTATCTCGACAACTACTTCCCGCTGAGCATAACTATATTGCCGACGAGCGTGAGGTCCGTGCGCTGGTCTACACTGTTAAGAAGTGGTGTCATCAGTTGCACGGTCACACTTTCACCGTTTTGACGGACAACTCTGTCCTCGCCGTCTTCCAGACGAAGCCTAAGCTCACTTCTTGTCAGGCTCGTTGGTGGCGTGACCTCTCCGAGTTCAATTTCACCATCAAGAAGATTTCCGGCCAAAGCAATCACGTTGCAGATGCCTTATCCCGCCACCCCGACCTTCAGTGCGAGGATCGTCAGCTATCTGCTATTTCAACTCCCACCATCCACCCCGCCTTTCTGGATGAGTATCGCCACGCATACACCCAGTGCCATGAGTTTCAGTTGACCTACATGCTGGCAAGTCCGTCCCTAACTTCCAGCTCGATCCCTTTGGACTCCTATACTGGCTTGGTCGCCAAGGTACCCGTACTCCCCGCTTATGTGTGTCCTCTACTGGCCAGCTCCGCGTTTGGGCCGTCGCTGAGTGTCACGACCAGCGCGCCGCCGGTCATCTCGGTGTCTTCAAGACACTTGACCGCCTTTACTGCCATTACCACTGGGAGCACCGTCGTCCCTTCACTAAGGAGTACGTCCGCACCTGCAGGATTTGTCAGGAGGCCAACATTCCCAACCACCCCCCCTACGGTCTTCTTCAGCCCTTACCCATTCCCACTCAGCGTTGGACTTCTGTCTCCATGGACTTCATCGGTCCTCTTCGTCCCCCTACCCCACGAGGCCACGGCGCCATCTTCGTCGTTGTCTGCCGGTTGACTAAGCATGCTCACTTCCTCCCTTGCAAGTATGCTAGTTCCGCCAAAGACATCGCCTCCCTATACTTTAACTGCATTGCCATTCATCACGGTCTTCCCACTAGCATCGTCTCTGATCGCGATCCCCGCTTTACTTCTCACTTCTGGCGTGGACTCCATGAGATGTATGGCTCCGAGCTCCGCCTCTTCTCCATCTATCACCCCCAGTCAGATGGACAGACTGAGGTCACCAACAAAACTTTTGGGAGTATCCTCAAGAAGTTTATTGAGAATGACTTTGATTGGGATCTGCATCTTGCTCACGCAGAGCTCGCTTACAACACACTATTTCTCCTGCCACTGGCATGTCCCCCTACTACTGTGACTTGGGATATCACCCTCATGTCCCATCTGATCTTCTCTGTCCATCTCAGATCCATCCCGACACCAAATGCCCTACCCTCGATGACTGGGTAACGGAGATGGATGTGCTTCTTAGCAAGGCTCGAGAGAGCATTGCTAACTCCCAGGCTCGCATGGCCACTCGCGCTAACCGTTCTCGCATTGACCACCCCTTCAAAGTTGGCGACGAGGTTCTTGTCGACGCACGTCACTTCCAGCCCGAAACCGACACGCTTCGGAAATTCAGACGGTGATATATCGGACCATGCACTATTCTTTCACCTGCCGGACCTAATCATGACTGTCCGGTGAGCTTCAAATTGAAGCTCCCCGATTCCATGTATCGCACTAACCTACATGATGTGTTCCATGTATCTCTTTTGCGCCCCTTCAGACGGTCTCCTCCCGAGTTTCGCGGTCGACCTTACCCTCGCCCTTCCCCCATCATCATTGAAGGTCACGAGGAGTTTGTCGTTTCTGATATTGTGTCCCGGCGTATGACTGATGGTGACCCTCCCCATATCGAGTATCTCGTTCGATGGAAGGGTTACCCTGGCGAGGAGTCTACTTGGGAGCCTCTCGAGCACCTGAAGCATGCTATGACTTTCTTGCGTGCTTACGATCGTGCTCATCCTTTCCCTTCATCATCCTCCCCTCCTCCGCCTGTTGTTCCAGTTGATTCCTCTCGCCCTCAGCGTACCCATCGACTTCCTTCTCGCTATCGTGACTAATCTACACCCCCATACGCTCTCTATCTCTTACCATTCTTGGACACTAATGCAACAGCTCCGGGTTTCGACTTTTACATTTGGCCTCTACATTCGCCTTCTACATTCGGCTTCTACATTCGGCTTCTACATTCGGCTTCTACATTCGACTTTCGACCTCAGTGCTTCTCTTCAGTACCAGAGTACATGTCGCATTGTTCCGGACTTCTACTCGGTTTCTGCACTACTCCTACTTCATCCTGGTTACTTCGGCTCGACTGTTTCTGCACTACTCCTACTTCATCCTGGCTACTTCGGCTCGACTTCAGTCTGGAGACTTATCAGTTGGACTACTTCACTTTTTCGGCTACGGAGTTCTCACCATTCCCATTTATCCATTACCCTCGAGTTTACCCTCCAGTCGCATGATGACCCCTATTTTCCCTGTCTATGTGGGTGTGTTCGTTTGCCGCCCTTCTGCCTTCCTTATGCTGCGCACCCTCCTCCGGAGTGTACGTTTTCTTTGCTTGCGGATTTTGGCCACATGTCTATGTCGGCATAGCCCTCTCTCCTGCCAGGCTCACCTTATGTGTGCTCCCTTGTGTGAGTGCCCTTCCCCTTTCAGCTGGCGGTRCCCGTTTGATGGTTTCCATTGAGCCCGGTGTCGTGCTGTTACTCTCCCTCTGAGCCTGATGACCCTTACCTGGTCGTGTGGGTGCCCCCTTGGAGTTTACTCTGAGAGTTGTACCTGCCGCCTTCCCACCCATTCATACCACTGCCATGCGACTGAGTTCCCTTCTCTTTTGTTCAGGTATTGTGCATATTGTGCATTGTGTACAGGGCAAGTGAGGCTGTGCCACATTCTTTTTCGACTTAGGACATAGGTTTAGCGATTCTTTGGCCTTTAGGGCCCTGGTGTTGATTTATATTCAGCCACTTTGGCTCAGGAGTCATTTTTCCCATTCTTGGCCGACACAAGTCAGACATTTTTCTCGCTCTTGGCCGACACAAGTCAAACATTTTTCTCGTTCTTGGCCGACACAGGTAAAACGTTTTGCTGTTTTTTTTGGAGGGTCGACTCAGACCAGACATTTTTGCATAGATCAGGCTTGAGACTTAGTATGCATTGCATCTCTTTTCCTGCATGGAGCTCGCTCCGCATCTAGGATTGTTTCTTTTGCCGTTCCTTTTGGGTTTCCGTTATTTCAGCGGATAGCGTGTTTGATGTATCGCTTGATCCATTCACAAGTCCGGGGATCGTGTAGCGGTACTCCTACGGCCCGGCAGTGAGGCCGGACCAGTTTCAGGCCGTCGGCCTGACCTTGGTCCGGTACCAGGTTGTTCCCGTACCTGGACCTAGGCCGATATATCACTTCGGCCTAGGCCCAGGTCGGGAGGTTGGTTGATTCAATCTTCATTTGTTCATTCATTCGGATTGGACCTTCACTCAACTGCTGCTTCTCGTGTGTCCATCCCCTCTCTCTCTCTCTCTCTCTCTCTCTCTCTCTCTCTCTCTCTCTCTCTCTCTCTCTCTCTCTCTCTC